GGCCAAATCCTCCTCTCCATGGAAAATCCATGAAGGTCAAATTCCAGGAAGGGCCAAATCCTCCTCTCCATGGAAAATCCATGAAGGTCAAATTCCAGGAAGGGCCAAATTCTCCTCTCCATGGAAGCTCCATGAAGGTCAAATTCCAGGAAGGGCCAAATTCTCCTCTCCATGGAAGCTCCATGGAAGTTCTATGGAAGCTCCATGGAAGTTCTATGGAAGAAAGGTCAAATTCTCCTCTCCATGGAAGCTCCATGGAAGCCTCATGGAAGTGGAGCTCCTTGGACATCCCACCTCCCACCAGCGCCCCAAGCCAAGGGCTGGGGTCGCATCCCAAGGCAGCTCCTTCCCACCTGTCCCAACCTTTGGACGGGAGCCGGGAGGTGGCTCCAAGCGCGGGAAGGGGAGTTCAGGGATGGGGACCTCCCCAGGTGCCACGGGAAGCTCACGTCCCTCTCCGCCCTCCCGCGGGTGTCTCCATGGCCAGGCCACCGCCATGTCCCACGCCAGGCTGCTGCTGCTCCTCATCCTGCTCGGCGGCGCCGGGACCGGCCGGGCCCTGAGCCTGTCCAACGGCGCCTCCATCTTCAGCTGCCTCGAGGCCGCGCTGGCGGAGGCGCGGCGGGTCCTTCCCGAGGAGAACGCCGTCCTGGAGAAGCGCGGCTCCGGGTCCCTGGAGGAGGCCTCCGAGGAGGACGAAGAGCTGGGCAAAAGGACGTTCCCGGGGGACAACCGCGCGGCCCAGGGGAAGGGCGAGACCCACCAGAAGAGGCCCAAGAGCGACCGGCGCGCCAAGGTCACGCTGTCCCTCGACGTCCCCACCAACATCATGAACATCCTCTTCAACATCGCCAAGGCCAAGAACTTGAGGGCCAAGGCGGCGGCCAACGCCCACCTCATGGCCCAGATCGGGCGGAGGAAGTGACCGGGCCACCGCCGGAGGGGACGGCCGGCCGCGGGTGACGCCAGCGCCGTCTGGCTTTGACCCGTCGAGCGACCTCGCGTCCACGTCCCTTCTCCAACCAGCTCTCCTCCCCGTTCTCCTGGCGTTCCTCCCGGACATTTCCACGCGCACGGAAGAGGTCCCCGTCCCCGTCCCCGGCACGGCGCGGGGGACGCGTCACCCGGGAAGGTTCCCGATTAAAGCCGCCATCTCTGGAGTTTCCAATCTTTGTTGTCCCATCTCCTGCTCCGTCGGGTCCGTAGGGGTTCCAAAACCTCGTGGCCTCGTCCCCACCACGCTCCTCCCAGATCCCACCACGAGCTGGTCCTGCCACGGCCACCGATCCACCGGGGAGGGAGAAGTGCCGGGACAACCCCAGGATGGATTTCCCAGCTCCTCCTCCTGGGTCTTCCCTGAGGTTGTCACCAGCACCTTCAGCACCAACTTCCCACCCACGTGGCCCCGGTGTCCCCAGATGGGTCCTGGCCATTGTCACCCACACTCCTGGTGTCCCCTGATGGTTCCTGGCCAGAGCCACC